GCGTTGTTTTATGAGCCTAGAGCTCAGAAAACAACGCGAGCAGCCGCCACCACCTCCTCCCCCTCCTCCCGAGCGGACTGAAAGCAGAGAAAGCTGAAAGCAAGAACTTTTCTGCTTCCGATTACCCCCATGCTTAAAAGTTGCAAAGGAAACACGGAAGCAGGGAAGCGGCTGCCCAGCTCCGGAGCTCCACACCATTTTTTTTTCAGAGGGGAATCTGACTCGAGTATAAGCTGAGGGGGGTTTTTTCAGCACAAAAAATGGGCTGAAAAACTCGGCTTATACTCGAGTATATACGGTACCTTTGCAGATGAAGCACTACATATTTTGAAGTCCAGCTCCACATTCCACAAGTTTTAGCCCTAAAACTTTACAATATTTAGGCTTGGGCTTTTAATAGGACATATTGTTGTTACTCTCATTCTTGCTTCAAGGAGCAACAAAATGCTTACCTCTATTGACATTTGCAAAAGGTCCTTCCACATCTATGGAACTATGTGCAAACTCAGGTCCTCTAAAAGACTGCTGAAGCTGCATCATGCTGCCCATGGAAGGCTCGCTTCCCAAGGCTCCTCCCATCCAATATTCTGTCTGACCTCCAGCAGCTTAAAATGAAGGAAACAAATGCCAATTCAGTAAATTAAATGTAATCAGAACTAGTTATTCTTCAGAAGCAAAAAAACAGGAAAACAAAGAGTTTCTGAAAGGAAACTAATGGAGCTGTAATTAAATATGTCACTGTAAAAAGTATTCTGATCTGAAGGTGCAAGATACAAAAAAATTCACCTATAGTAAAATTATTATTATGGTGGTGGTGATAATTGATGTTTTCAGAATATTATGAAAAGGGATAGAAGCCTTCCTCTCCTGCCCCAAATATTCTTATTAATCAGGAAATCATAAGATTTGAAAACCCTAAACTGGATCAGAGCAGATTAAAACCTACATGGATGACCAAGTGCTTTAGGAAATTCCTAAAGTTATGGGCTAGAACTGGGAACTCTATAAATCTTCCTGAACTTTAGTGATAACCTACTTTTATATTACTGTCAAGTTTCTTTGTTCAGGTTTCAATCTTAAAAAATGATATGCCCAGATCAAGGTACTGCTTTTGCATTAAGAAAATTCAATTGATAACTTATTTAAAGGTAAAAGAGAGAAGAAGTCACTATTTGAAAATAGGAGAAATTGAAGAATCCTTGTTTAAAAGATTAAGCAAGAATCAATTTAGCTATTGTTATTGCTTAGAAATTATTTTGATTTTTTGTCATCATTTTTTGTCTGTGCCATTGTAGACTGCACACATTTATAAAACATATCTAGGCAACTGGTAAATGCAACATCATTCATACCAGTAATTTCTGTACAGCTGTCATCTGAATCTGATTCTCCAGGATCAAATATTTGGATACCCTGAACTTGCAACCTCTGAAGTTTTGCTTCAAACTCTCGCTTGGCCCTCAGTAGATCCTGAATTTCATTTTCCTTGGTTTCTCTGAAAATCTATAAATGAAGAAAGTTCTGAACAAGTATATTTTAAAACATTATTCATATTTCACTCTACGCATAAAATTAATGTTTCTTTTCAATTAAGAGTTTATCCTTTCCCCCCTAAATCTTAACCAACAGAATTCAAATTACCTATAAATTTGTGTAGATAAAAGGAAAATATCTACAAGTGGAACTTTCAATAATTTTTAATATAAAGTGATCTTTAATTCAAGGTTACAGCTATCAATCCTGATTTCTAAGATAGTTCCATACATAGTATGTCTGCTTTCCTAGGCTATTTAAGAAGAGGAATTCCATTATTAATAGTTTTACTTCTAAAAATTATTTATACTTAAGAAAGGCTTACAGCTTTCCGAAACATGCTCATTTATCCTGCAAAACCAATAAATTATTTACTTTGAACTGCCTCCTGACTTTGTCACGATCATGTTCAAATGTAGCTGCTCTTTCCATAGCTTGATATTTGGCCTCTACAGCACTTTCCTTTTCTCTGAGGATTTTCTGATATGTTTTCTGAAGTGCCTGGGGGAGGAAAAAGTGACATCGTTAACCCCTGGTCTAAAAATTTTCATTTATTCACTCTATTAATTTGTTTGATGTCAGAAAGCTTCCTAAATGTAATTTGAGTACATTTGATCTTTTAATCCAGGGTTTAAATAACATTCCAGATACAGCTCATCTACAACTTTTAGCATTCCTTTAGCTATTCTGGATGAGTCTAGTAAGAATTACAATATAAAAATATAAAGGTGGCCACAGATTTCTATTTTAACAGAAAGCTTTTTGTCAATTCTAGTGCCATTAACCCATGCAAATACCTGAAGCTCTGCCCTCAAGCGCTTGTTTTCCTTGTCCAGCTTGGCCTCTTTTTTCATCATGGCAGCCACCTCATTGTTCTTGCTAATGCGAAATATCTCGTATTCTTTTTTCAGGCGTTCACACTCTGCCATGTATTCCAGCTCTTGTACAGAAGCAGTAGACTTGAAGCTTGCGCCAATGAGGCCTCCAGGCCGGGATGCACCTACCCGTCGAAAAGAACTTCGCAGAAGACGGGCCTTGGGCTTTACTTCAACAGGAATTTCGCAGGCCTCACCACCCCCTCCCTCATATGGATCTTCAATCACCTCCCCAACAATGACCATTGGATTAACCAGAGATGAAGCAGATCCCATAGTTGAAGAACTTCCCTTAAGCACACACTTTAATGACAGATTCTAACTATCTCACGATCCTACTAGATGTAGACTTTCGTTAATGCCAAGATCTACAGCTGCTGCTCAATACTTGGGCCTAGGATATTGCCCCAAATCTTTCTTCTTGTCTGGTTATCCATAAATGGGTGCTTTTGCTCCAACCAGACTGCTGGTTTTTAGATCAGCAAATACTTAAATTTGTGTGTGCAAAGTAGTAATATTCCCCCAAGTCAAATTAAAAAATAGACTATTCTGTTAAAGCCTTGTAGTAAGAGCATAGGCTGCTGGCACATAATACATATTTCATTGATAAGGCTGTTACTATAGATTCAATATTCATTAACATTGGTAAAAAGTATCAGTACAGTCATGGTGAAGAAAACATTCCTTGTTATCCTGTTATTGGGAATAGTTTAGTGCTGGTCGTCCACAGGAGACAGTGGCTTAGCCTACCAACTTTCCACACATTTCCTTGGAAATAAAACTGACTAAATCCTTATATCCCTGAGCTTTTCTCTTATGTAATCAAAGCAAACTGCCCAGCAAACAGGCACAAATATCTCCAGTATAGTCCTTAAAGGGGTGCTGCAAATATTCTTGCTGTCGTTTTCCCAATAACAAGCAAAGTTACCTCGGTCATCATTCTGCCCTATTATTTTCCATGCTATCCCTTGCTCATTTGGTTCAGAAAAATGGAAAAATCGAAAAGGAGGGAATCGTTTTCCAAGCAAATGGAGGGTCAATGTAGAGTTTTATTCCGGAGCTTCACAGAGTTTTATTCCGGAGCTTCCCTTGACATTCCAAAAACGAAGGTAATGTTGACGAGCGATGGAAACAGTCAATCAGCCAAGCAACTTGCTCGCTCTGTCGCTGGTTGCTCCCACCTCGGCCTCTTTCGGCTGAGCTGCAGCGCAGACGCTACCGTCCGGGAAAATATTCGGTCAGGGGGTGGGCAACCAAAGCAGGAAGTAGGCAGTGACGTGGCGGCTTTCTCCCGGCAGCTACAACGGGCTCAGGCGCTCTTGTGGAAAGAAAGCGAACTTTAGTTGTCTTTTCATGACTCACGTTCCACGGCTGAGACTCGCCGAAAGAGAAGGCGTCCTCTGAACACTTGCGGGAAAGGCTTGGGCGGGCCCTGGGATATGTTGGAACACAAATCAGCGGTATCTATCAGTATGCGGTCTTAGCACGGCTATTCTAGCAACAGATGAATTGTACAATAGCCCCGCGTTTTTCGAGGGCGCTGGTTGACGAAGTGCCAAAGGTTCTTTTCTCGGCGACAAGAATTGTCTCCACTTCAGACTGCAGGGGGAGAGGTTTCTAAAACAAAGGAAAAGCCGAGTCACACAATGAATTTTGCATTGGGCTGGAGAAAGCCCGTATATCAATTTAAGTTACAACATTTGTTTTATTTCAGGAAGACAACCTGAACATATTTTAAAATACGTTTTATGGAAAAAGTATACAAAATTCCTTTAGTTTCAATGGAAGAGGAGACGAGAAAATAACAGAAGAAGCGGGTGGAGTGGGGGACAAAAACCATTTACACCACCTTTTTATCGTTGCAGCAAATGTTTTGGATAGCTAATGCAAAATATAGTTTAAGTCCCAGGAGTAAAATTCCAAAAATAAGTTAAAATAGATTCCTATTCTTAAATATATCTGAGATGTTTTGGCGTTCCAAAAACAACATTCGACCCCACAATATATCCCAATATCTAGATTGATATTGTCTTCAAATGGAATGAAAATGGGTCATTAGAAATGAAGAGACTTTTAACTATTCTTTGACGATTCAGCTAGCAAATTTAATCAGCAACAATTAGTTATTATATCCTTTAATGTAATGTAACAAGGCATCCAGCCGTTCATATTTTTAAAGATAAGAGTCATTTACCTTATAAAGAGGTTTAACTAATCCTGACAAACATGAAACTTAGCTGCTGGCAAATGTCATCTTCCTGGTAGCTGCTCCATGCAATTATAGCTATTCTGTGTAACATTGCTTGTAAATATGTGTGATACATTTATTATGAGTGCATTCTCCTCAAATTGACTCCTAATAGTTTATTAAATAGGCAGAGCCAGTTTTTCCAGAAACAACATGCAAAAGAAGAGAAAAAGTTGATAGTGTATACCTTCAGAAGTTGAACCCCTGTAGACAAATGCAAACAGGTTAGGTGTGCTGGATCACCTTCACTATTTAGCTTTAAAGTTAGCTTTGGATCCTCAAAAATCATTGTCAAATTTAAAAATAAAAATACACTTTATTGCCAAAAGACTATTTTGCCTTTGTCTTTCTATTTCCACACTTAAAAACTACATTAGAGTGTGGGAAGTACATTTGCCTGAAAAACTGAGGGGTTGACCACAGGTTAGAACAGGGGTGGGCAAACTTTTTGGCTCGGGGGCCTCATGGACTTTTAAAATTTGACAGACGGGCCGGGTCAGCACAAGATACGATACATATAAAAAACTGCAAAATCTCCGCAAAATCAAGTCACTGCGCCTAATGCGCCACCTGGTGTCGAAATGCCTGTCATTACAAGTCAAAATCAAATGAATGCAATCATTCAATCATTCACATCAAACCTTAATTCTGTACCAATCTTCGGCGGGCCGGATTAAAAAGACCAACGGGCCGGATGTGGCCCACGGGCCGTAGTTTGCCCACCCCTGGGTTAGAAGGTAGGTAGGGGGCAGTGTATTCTGCGGGTATATGAATTTTAAATTGTTAGAAAAGAGTTAAAAGCACTGAAAGAAAATGTCTTTACCCAGTGTTGTCTTGCCCACAACACAGAACACACAACACTGTGTTTATTTTTTTTCTTCCCTCTGTACTTTTAAGAACACCCCAAGGTTATAAGGGAATGTTTTAAGTTAATTTACAGAAAAAAATTCATTATTTCTTGCATTTACTATATGTTTTTAGATGGTTTTATCTGTCCATCTTTTTCTGAAGCATGTGAATCCAGTTGTTTTTTTCTCATCTGATGTCCTCGTTTTGTTATAACTGTGTTTTTTTTAACAGACTTTATTCAGTTTTTCACATTAAAAACAAAAATCTCTTTTTAGTGGACAACATATTTCCGGGTCATCATCTTTACATACAAATATGACCAAAATTATACATTGATATATGCATACTTAATTCTATTATTACCTTTTCCATTCCAAATTTTCAGTAAGGAGAGAAACAAACACATTAATTCTAGCCTCTTTCATTAATCTCAATCAATTTTGTTTCATTTCAATTATTTCAAATATAATCCTTTAGTATTTGTTTTTAAACATAAAGATGTGTTTGCCTAATAAATAATAATAAAGTTTAATTCTAAGTTCTTTCATTAATCTCAATCTAAACATCTTTTTATTTCATTTCAATTATTTCAAATATAATCCTTAATATTTATTTTAAAAATAAAAATAAACAATATATATTTGCCTAATAGTGGTAATAATGAAGTTACCAATGTCTCTCCTTGCTTTTAATAATCTATATTAAACTTATTAATTTAGCTGGTTCCTTAATCTGTCATATTCCCTTTCCATTACACATTTTTTTATGAATTCTAAATTAATACAGATCTTAACACACCCACACAAAAAGAAAAAAGAACAAGTATGTTTCCCCTCTTTTACTATTTTGAGTGTGACACCTTAATGATTAGAATATACCTTTATTCCCTCATCTTAATTCCCAATAAACCATTAATCATTGCATCTTTTCTTTTTTTAAAAAAAAAAACAATTTTATTAAAAAATTAGATATGGGGAAATATTGCATGAAAAGGGTGAACTTAAAACGATGCAAAATCTAGAAGAACAAGGTATAAAGATGAATTGGTTTTCATATGCGCAAATACATTCAAGGTATGTTAAAGATTCTAAAACAGGGATTCTATGATAAATTGACTGACTTAGATAAGATTTTGACAGGTACTGATGAAAAAGTGATAAAAAATTTATATGGTTATTTACTGGAAATTAAACTAGAGGAAGAACAAGTTAAAGAAATGATGATTGTTTGGGGGAAGAATTTTGGATATGGGATTGATTTAGAGAAATGGCAAAAATTGTGGTCTCAAAATTATAAAATGACAATGTCAACAGCATATAAAGAAAATCTGTATAAGATGTTTTACAGGTGGCATTTCCCCCCGACAAGAATAGCAAGAATGTTCAAGAATAAATCTGAAAAATGCTGGAAATGTAATCGGATACCTGGCTCATATTACCATATGTGGTGGACTTGTGAGGACGCTAGAAAATATTGGACTAAAATTCGCATGTGGTTGGAAAAAATGACAAAGAAACATATAGATTTAAAACCAGAGATTTTTTTATTGGGAATCTTACCTGATACATACAATAAAAATTTGAAATATTTGATTGTAAATGTATTGACAGCGGCTAGGGTTGTATTTGCTAAAAATGGGAAGAGTGAGAAAATACCATCACGGGAAGAAATTATTAAGAAAATATTGGAATGTGCTGAAATGAGTAGATTGACATTTGAAATTAGAGAACAAGAAGATAAACAATTTTATGAAGTTTGGGACCTTTTTTATCAATGGCTAGATAATAAAATATAATAATAGAATATTTAGAATTTTAGGAAACAATGAATATATATTTCTTCTTTTTTTTTCTTTGATACTATCCTTATAAAATTTTATTAAGATAGATTTGGTATGACTTTATGATTTGTTATAAAATAAATTAAGTAAATTATAGTTATCTCGCTTAAGTATGAATTAATAAAATTATAGTCAAATGATTGTTTAATAATGATATCAGGTTATATAATTGTTGCTTGATAATATGAGCTATTATGTAATATAACTACAATGGAGACTATGAAATGGATGCACAAAAAAAAGTGGTAAACCAACCGATACACTGTCTGTAAACTTATGAAGGAAAGATGATGTTTTTATGTTTTATGTGTTTTTGTTTGTTGTATAAATTTTTAAAAAATCATTACATCTTTTCAGTTGGATTCCACAGCATATTTTCCCCCCCTTTAATAAGAGTTATCAGTATCTATATTACCCTATTTTCTAAATATTTTTAATTGCAGAGATATTCTTATTACCCCTTGTCACCCTGCAGAATCCCCTTTTTAATTCATCAACCATTATCTCTGAAAAAGCCATTTCTTTTCAACATTTTACTAGTTCTGTGTTTCTTTCTTTCACATGCCTGTTTCTTACTGCTTCTCCTCCCCCCTCTTCCCCATATCTTTTCTCATTCCAATTTATCTCTTTCTTAATATCTTCCTTTCCCCTTTTCTGCTGAATCTTCCTGCCTTTTCTGACTTCACAGGTATTCCCTCTTTTAATTGCTTTCTTAAAACTCAACTTTTAACCTTCCTTCTTTCCCCACTTCTTTGTAGTGTTTTTGTGTTAATTGTCTATTTAAAATGTCTTCTCCTTGAGTCGACTCCTCCTCCTCTGAGAATCTTTCTTCTTGTTCTTCAATCGCCATTTCCATTTTTTTGAACACAGAGCAAAGTGATTCGCCCCTTTCCTGTAGTAATTCTTTCATATTTTTAAGTTCCATTTTTAATTCCCGAAGAGATATCATCATTCTTATATTTTATGATTGTTAAAGTGCACAAAAAGAAACCACTTTTACTTTCCTTCTTTTTTCTTTCAGTTTTTTAAAGTTATCCGCTATTCCAGTCCAGGATTTATACCAAAAACATCAATCAGTCCCACAAACAATCTTTCCTTGCTTTTTCCTTTATTCTGGTTCTGCTTTCACTTTCTAAAATTCTTACTTTGTTTCAATATTTCTGTAATGTTATATCCACACCAGTTCATTCAGAAACAGGATGCTTTCCCTTTTGTGTGAGCTCAATTTTTTGTCAAAAGGTGACACTCTCCATTATACAAAGTCTTCACTTTTTCCCCCTATATTTTTATTTAAGGTTTTTCGAACCTCAATATTCCAACACAATCCAGTCTCCAATTTGTAAACTTTGTTATTATTATTCTTTGACAATCTTAAGTCCAGCTTTAGTTTTATACTTGTTTATTTCCAAATTATTTTAGTCCAATTTCATTAAAT